AGCGCCGCCGCGCTCCCAAGCGGCGCACTGTAGCAGTGCGCCACCGGGCCGGCCCCTAGCTCAAGATTTTAAATTCGGGAGACCTCACATAGAAACACATCTCTCTGGTAAAACAGCATCAAGAGATGCAATCATTAAATTTCAGATTGTGGGAAACTCTATGGGTCAAACAAACTGTTTCTTCAACAAATTTTTTATGTCAATAGTTAAGGATAAAAGAAAGAGGAGACAAACCCATAGATTAAACAAAACTTGAAAGAATATCAACACAATGGACCTTATTTGAAATTATGATTCAAACAATTTTTTTATAATGACGTGATTGGGGAAATTCAAATGCTAACTACAATATCTGATGCTATTCAAGAATCATTGTTTTTTTAAAAAATTACAGATTTTTGGCTTTTGAAAAATAGAAATATCTGGTATTACTGAGTTAGCATTCCCAACTGGAATGCTATCCACCTACTAGAACTGAGTTGTGACTGGCCATTCTAACAAAAAAGCCAAAAGCTTTTCTTCAATTTACCACAGTGCCCTGTCCTTTTTACCATCTTCTATCTAGCTTGTTTAACTTATTTATGGTAACTGCCTGGCCCAAAGATATCTAAATTTTGCAATCCATGGCCAGGAAGATTGTCTTGACATATCATACTCTTAAGACTCTTAATGGACTTAGAATACTAAAAGACAAACAGAAAGATTCAATGAAAAATAACAACAGTAGTACCAGCTGAGTGCTTACTATGCACCAGGCCCTGTGTTAATGATTTTAAGCCTATGCTTTTAATTAAGTTAGGCCCGCCACTAGTCTCTACTTGAGTCTGAGATCATATATCCATGCAACATACAGGTCTTAAGAAACTGTCTGAGTACATACTCAAAACCTTCCAAGACTTATCACTAGTGGACAATCCTGAGTGTCCTTCTCACTCAAGTCTTCCTCACTGAGAACAGCAAAGCCACATCCATGTATACTTCATTACTTAACTGACTTCAGCCACAATCTTTAAAGGTGTTCTAGTAATTATAGCATCAGCATTTTCTTTCCAGATTCACCACTAAATAAAGGACGTTGGGCAAATGATGCCTTTCCATTTCCATGTCTTTTGTATGAAGAGCTCATCATGAATGCTTCAATATTTTATCTGCTCTGGCTTAACCCAAAGGTGGTCTCCACACTATCACATGAGATGATCCATCACCTATGTCTTTCTGGCTAAAGTGCTGCTGGGCAGAGGGACATTAATTAGGTGGTCAGTGATCAGATGTTTTCAAGCCTAATTCATAGATGCCAAACTTGTGGACTGTTACTTCTATATTTAGTCCTTTACTTAATGGAACTGATATTAAAAAGTTCCATAATAAGCCTGGAATCTTTGTAATAAAGGGCTAGTTAAGGGGGACCACACATGAAAAGAACCCACCATGTCCATAAATGCATTTTCAGGAGGAAGCAACATTTGGGGGCAGAAAACTTACCAGCATCTGTTCAAAGAGATCTAGAACTTGCTCATCCGAAACATCTTGCAATGACTGTGCTGTTGGATCATCCCCATATGAGGCAGAAGAATTTCTATGAGCAGAATTGGGCTTTTCCTTCTCCTTCTTAATTCTCATGCTGGTAAATCTCTCCAGCTGAGAAAGAGAGAAAAGTTTAGCAATGATTCATTTTCATTCACAACAAACCACACATCAAATAGCCAACCCTTTAACCTCTTACACATGCATCGTTCTTCTGGTTCATGAGCAGTTCAAGACTCTTCTGACATGAAAAAAAAAATCAGTCTTCCTCATATCTAACTTAGGATATGACTCTTTACTCTCATCTATAGCCTAAGATAAGAGGATTGAAGTATTAAGATTTCAAACCTCTCTAAAAAGAGGGAATTTTGTTCTTGATTTCCCCTGCCATTTCTAAGCCCTCTAGCAGCACAGAATTGAAAGCATCTCACATGTAGAGCTATCTCAATAAAATGCTGTTTCTGTCTATCTAACCAGTAATAAATGTGGCCAGACCCCCAGAGGATCCCTCCCTTAAAAAGGTAAGTATGACCATAGATTTTAATAAACGTCAAGTCACACAGGATAAACAAATAAATGCCTTAAAAACTAGGAACCACTTTTTTCTCTTTCTTTTGTACACTCCATAGCACTTGTGTTATGGAGGCAGCAAAAATTAATACATATGCTTTAAAATGCCCTTTGCGCAACATCTAGTCAGCAAAGAATACAATGTATACTTCAGGATGTGTGTGTACGTGTGTGTGTGTTTGTGTATGCCATCTCTCTGCCAAGCAAATGCTAATGAACCATTCCTCAAACCTCAAGTACAGATGTTCAAATAAAAAAGAGCCACCAATAAGCTGCAGGTTATCAGCTCCACCCATTTGAAAATAACAAGAACTATCTGCAGGCACTGTGGGGCTGCAAGTGATATGAGTGGCATCCAGACTGCAAGTCAGCTTAGAGTTTAAAGAGCATGCTTAACTTTGGGAACTAGTGAATGTACCAGGGAAATGCATGCAATGGGTCAAATACAGAGCAAAGAGATAGGAAAAAGCCTTGGGATGCTCTGAGAATAGAACCCATATCACCATTACAAGTTATGGAGAGTTAAAGTTAAAAAAACTGGTAAATATTATAGTGCAGGAAACAAGGTAGAACATGCACATGCCAAACAAAATTTCCTTACCTCATCTGCCATGAGTCGCTTCAGAGTCTGGGAACCAGGAAAAAGGAAGAAGAAGACAAAGACAGATCAGTGAAATGCCAGAAACCTCCCAAACACCACGTGGGTTGGGGAGAAAAGAAAGAGAAAGTAAGTAGAAAGGACCTAAGCTATTTTCCACAGGCTAAAAGATTTGTGCCAAAGTATTCCTTAGCACACTCCCTCAGGTAAGGAGCAGATGAATTTTAAGGTCGCTAACATATAACTCTTAAAAAAAAAAAAAAAAGATGGAGAATTGAATAGACTGTAAATCTGATGACCAATAAACTTATGAAATGTGCTCAACTTAGATAGTAAATGAGAAAATGCAAATTAATGCCAAAATGAGATATCATTCTGCACTCTCGAGACCGGCAAAAACCTCCATGTCAGTCTAGCCATGACGGGAGCTCTCATACACTGCTGGTAGTAGTGTAAACTGCTATGGCCACATTGGAAAACGGTATGACATTATCTAGAAAAGTTAAATATGTACATACACTACAACTCATCAATTTCTATGTATCCACCCTATTGAAACTCACGCATAAGTGTGTAACAACAGAGTTCATAGTAAAACTATAAAGTCTAAAACAGAGAACAATCCAAATAGCAGGGGCTAGCCAGTTAGCTCAGTTGGTTAGAACACAGTGTTGATAACACCAAGGTCAAGGATTTGGGTCCCCACACTAGCCAGCCACCAAAAAAAAAAAACAAAATAAAAACCCCAAAATAAACAAAAACCCAAACAGCCATCAAGAGTAGAATGGACAGACACACTGCTATATTGGTACAGAGGAAAACAATTATGCAAAGAAAGTAACTGAACTTACAGCTACTCACAAACATAATACTGAATTATTATTTCATTGTCACTGAGTTTAAAAGCACACAAAACTAAATTATATTGTTTAGGACGTAAATGATTATCACAAATGTCAAAACAGTGGTTACTTGGGGGTTGTGACTGGGAAGGGTGTGGAATATACTATAAAGCATATGTATTTCACAAGGCCTGGTTTTCCAAAGTCTTGCAGTTTCAAATATTGACCTTGCGGAGGACTGGAAATTTTCCTCAGGCTATAAGTGTGGTGTAAGATAAAGATTTGTGACACAGCAAGGTTGCTGGCTCAAGGACAGACAGGTTACTGCTTGAAATGTAAAGATACTGAAAAATTGCTAGAGGGAGAAGGAGTGTTTGCTAAGATCAAGCTTTTGTTAATTGCCTTACTGGAATGTCATCTGGCTTGTTTAACTGAAAGTTGCCAGCCTATACTGTTAACCTATAACCCCACCTTTGTTCTCTTCCTGTAACTTCCTGGTCTGGAAAATAAATGCAGGAAGAGAACCCCAATTCAGCACTAATTTCCCAAGGAAGGGATCCCTCTCACTGGAGAGTCCCAGGGAAGTTAACCACTTCAGGGCTTCTCACTGTTCAGAAGAGATGGGCTTTGAGTAATCCTTTGCGTCTCCATCACCCAGAGGAAGTGGGGTGACAAATCTGTGGGGGACGAAGCAACACTAAACAACAGAAAGGCACAAAGCCACTTCTGGGGTGTCTAAAATATTCTATTTATTGACGTGGATAATGATTACATGGTGTTCAGTTTATAATTATTCTGTGTGTTTCATGTTCTCTTCTGTATACATGCCATACTTTACCAAAAAAGCGGAGGAAAGGGGAGGAGCTCACTCATTAAAGCACAGTACTGATAACACCAAGGTCAAGGGTTCGGATCCCAGTACCAGCCAGCTATCAAAAAAAACAAGTCTGTATGAGAGCAGGTCCAGGAAAGTGAGAATTTTTCCTTGCCTTTCTTAATTTTAAACTGTATTTCTTTTGTGATAGTGTCCTTTGTAGAGTGTAGTAAATGCCTCTTGAGTAACCTTCCTCAACTAATGAAAACTAGCTCTGTCCCTGACATAAAGCTATTTTTCCTCACTGTTTTTGTTTGTTTGTTTGTTTGTTTTAAATAAAAGATGACCTGTAAGGGCATCTTAAACCTTGACTTGGTGTTGTCAGCACCATGCTCATCCAGTGAGCTAACCAGCCATCCCTATATGGGATCCAAACGCATGACCTTGGTGTTATCAGCACCGCACTCTCTCGAGTGAGCCACAGTGCTGGCCCTTTCCTCACCTTTTTATGGACAAAAAAACCTACATCATTATGTTCACTTTCCTTATATCACAATTCAGTTAAATCCAGTGTAAACTGTGAATTTTAACTTTGCCTTCCATGGTCCAAAGGAGGTCAAGTTTCCAGTGGCTGAGTGCTATTCACTCATCTGAAACCTTAAGAATGTTGCTCAGCATCCATGAAATTTATAGTTACTTCGTGTGTACTGCTAATTGGGAGAGAAGGCAGAAAGATGATGAGGCAGAGATAGCATCACCCAAGGAGACCAACAACACAGTTCCTTTCACTACCATAAGTCACTTGGCACGAAAAGGTGAAATGAGTCACAAAAGGGATGAGTATATCCAGTTTAGGATGCCATAGCCAAGGTTAAACTTAATTGCTCCTATAGCAATTGCTTACAAAACCTTGTCCCCCAAACTCAAAATGTTCTCACATAACCAAGCAACAACCAAACAACTCCAGGATGGATATAATGTAGGCAACAGAATCTGGGTCTAAAGAATCAGTGGCAGCTGAATTGTTCACAGCTGCAGCTTAAGTTAAAGGGAAACCAGTAACCTGTTCTTATTGCCTACAGACTCTTGACTCGTCTCTCCCGTCCATCTCCACTACCACTACCTAAGTTCACACCGCTACTGTCTCCTGCTTAATTTACTGTAACAGCCTCCTAACTGACCTCCCTGCCTTCAGTCCTGTCTGCCCCTCACCACATCCTTTCTCCATACTATTTCTAAAATGCTAAGCTATCCATGTTATTTCTCCCATTTAAAACCTCTAATAGCTCCCCACTGCCCTTAAGTTAAAATCCAAAATCCTTAGCATGTCATATGACTCTCCAGGCTTTCCCTGCTAGTCTCATCTCTCAACAAACCCTCCTTCTTCTATCAACAAACTCTATCTTCTGGTCATACTGATTTAGTCACAGGTCCAAAAAACAATCACGCTGTACAACCACCACAGACTTTCTCTAGGCTGCTGCGTCCCACAGCTTAGGCTGTGCTTTCCAGGCTAACTCCAACAGGCTCTGCAGGACACTTCCTCTAATTGGATAGATACCATTCCTAGTGTTTCCACAATAATAGGTACTTGCCTGTCTCACAGTAATAATAGTGGATTATAACTGTCTTTTGATTGTCTGCCTCCTCTACCCCCTTCCAGACTAAGTTCCTTAAAAGCAGAGCCTGAGACTTAGTCATTATATCTCCTGTGAACAAATACTATAATCTGAGGCTGCTTTCCTAAAATACCAATCCCTGGAGAAGCCCTCAAAGTCTACTCCACCTATTCATTTTATCAACAAAGAAATTAAAGCCCAGACAGGTGGAATAAATCATCGAGGACATGTGATTAGGGGCTGAGTTGGGTATGGAACTCGGGTCTCTGGATTCCAAAACCCCCAAATCTTTGCATTCCCCAAATTCCTCTGCCTTATTCCTATTTAATGCCCATTAACTCTTGCCTTTAGAAAGAAAAGTAAAAACATCTTCCAATAGGAAGAAAGATAGTTTCCCTTTCTTTCCTGAGACATCACTGGAAATGGATTTGATCCTTTCAAAAAATTACCCATGTTTTAGTTCTCAATTTGAAAGGGTAAGGACAGCAGAAGTGATCCATGCAGAATAAAAGCTGCATTTCCTCAACTAGTCCAACAGAGGGCAGCAACAACTAGCAAAGTGAATCAGAGTAAAGACAAAATTCTGTTTCAGAAACCAACAGAACAGGGGAACAGCAACCTCAATTATTGAATGGAAACCTGCTGCTACAGTATATTGAGTGTATTGTTTATTTATTTAATTCTATGTGTTTATCTTACAGATTCTATGTAAACTGTGTTTGCAAACAGCTTCAGTTCATTTGTAGTTTTTTAATTGTATCAGTTGTTTTGAGGATTCTTGGAAATATAGAACATGAAGTTCCTAGATCATGAGAATTAAAAAAACTAAAAATAGTGGAGTCTAGGAAGATAAATGCTACCAGAGGTGTATTTATTATGCCTTATCCCTCAGATATCCAAGCTTTTTTATAAAGTCTCTAATCATCCCACCTGCCTCTAAATGCTTCAACCTCATCCTTCTCCTTGTTTGCTATCAATTCTCTTCTGCTTCCAAACTAAACCCTTATTTATCCTAGCCTGGCTGTGGCTAAATACCTCACTTCCTGTCCCTCCTATTGAGTCTTCCACTAAACACTACCTTTAAAACCTTTAACTACAAATATACTTATAGATACTGAAGGAAGCATAAAAATAGAATGAAATTTTTTAAAATATCAAAATCTGACTCATGAACAAGATTAAAAGGAACTGACAGGTAAAAGATGGCAGAATGAACCAAAGCATCTAATTTCTCCCCTTCTTGAAACCCCACTAAATCTACATAAAAGGAATTTTTAGAAAGAAAGGAATGATGGGAAGAAAGAGCCCACAGGAATGGAAAGAACAAGAAAAGTGCAACTACAGCCAAATTTTGAAGGTGGGGAATGAAGGACTTAGTGGTCTTTAACCCAAAAGATATAAGAAAGCTGAGTCCTAAACCAGAAACAGGAAAAGGCAATAACCAACCCAAATTACACTTAAGGCTCCTCAAAAGGCTCAGGAATTAGTGGCACCAGATACCTATAGAAATGGGGGTTGAAGGGAGAGGGAGGCTAAAAACAAGAAGAAAGGTTGAAAGCTCTTTAGAAAGAGTTAGATCCCTAGATCCTACCCTGCTCCCCACACCCCACCCTCCCTTCCTCTAGCAGAAATCTGGAAGTTTATTCTCAGAAGAGGGTAAAGCAGAAGGTCTCTGGATTGGGGAATGCCAGGCACAGCTGTGAGCAGGGATCCTCTACCAAACAGAAGAGTAAGTAAACCTATATATATTATATA